GATCTTCATAACAACCCGTGTGCTGGTTTGACAGATTAAGAAATTGACACTCAATGGGACTACCTAATTTGCCCAAGACATACGTATAATCAGTGGTGGAGCCAGAATTAGAATCCTGGTATTCTAATATCATATGGCACGTACTATGTTATTAGGAGAAGCACCATTTTTCATTTCTTGGTAAAGAACATGCATTTCTAAATCTTTAAGTCAACCACAAGCTATATCTGTGGATGTGGCTGAGCAATTTTCCAATTTCACTTACTGGTTTCATTTACTACACTTAGCGGGTTGGCAATGAAAATCACTATCTCTATCCTTCGTCTGGCACTGTCCTGATTATATTTGAGACCAGATGGTTTCAACACTTGGGAGATAGATACATCTTCATCATTAATCTCCTCCTCCTGTCTTAGCAAGTTTCACCCTAGATTGTACCCTCTCTACCCACAGATGTTCTCTCTTTCTTTCTCCATCCTTTGGCTCAAATCCAGAAATAAGAAGACTCTGCACTTATGATATAAGCTCCCACTTCAAGGAGTTTTGCCCTCTGAGAAATTCTGGAGATTTCTGAATAAGGAAGCATATCAACCCAATACAGGCTACCCCCTGCCCAGACAATTGTTTGTCAGAGGAAGGTGAGAGAGCGAATGTTAACACCTTGTCTGGATCTGCAGCACTTTATTGAGTCACAAGATCTGTTAGAGAAAGTCGAAAGAAGCAGGAACCAAAGCAATGCCTCCCAAGTAGAAAACCAAACACGTTTATTAAAATAAATGCTCCGAGCTAAAAGGAGCAAGTGAAACTTTCCTGGGCTCTATTTTGATTCAAAATATTACATTTACAAAAGAAGAAAATAATTGAAAAGAAAAATGCATAGAGGCAGCATGGTAGAGTGGAACTTACAGATACAGGTCAAATCCTGATTTTGCTATTTTTAGGTGGGGCTCTTAGTCTCAGTTCTTTTTTCCTCTATGAAATGAGATCACAATGTCCCCTCTAGTGTGGCAATTTTGTAAGGGTCAAATAATTTAATGTATATGAAAGTACCTAGCATCTTCTTGGGACACTGAAGTCATTTCATGTTATTGGCTGAATTCTGTTCCCCGCCAAAATTCAAATGTTGATGTCTGAATGCCACAGTACCTCACAATGTAACTGTACTTGGAAATCGGTCCTTTATAAAGATTGTGAAGTTAAATTGAGGTCATTTGGGTGAGCCTTAATCCAATAAGACTGGGGTCCTCACAGGAAGAGGAAATTTGGATAGAGACATGAAAGGAGGGCAGATAACGTAAGGACACAGGAGGAAGACAGTCGTCCATAAGCCAAGCAAAGAGCCTGAAACAAATCCTCCGGAGCCTCAGAAGAACCAGCCCTACT